AACTTTTTCATCTGCTCCATGGTGTGACTGCCAACAGCTGGAGACTGGTTACCTTAGGCAACCTGGGAGTTTCTGTTTATTGTTCTTGTGTCGTTTTCTTTTAACTTGGTGTGTCTGAAGTCCTGCTTCTTGTATCATTTTAATATCATGCACAGAGCTGAATACTGTCTTGAAAGCAGCACTCCTAAGGTTTACAGAGGGTACAAATGATTCTTCAACAGAATTGACCTCTCAGTGGCAAAGAAAATTGCAGTGGAAGACACATTATTGCGTGGTGGTATCAAAGCTTTGGATCTGCAGAGAGTCTCACTCCAGTGTCCTCCAGCTTTCCCTTATAAACCAAAATGGCTTACAAATGTCATCTACAATAGTCCAATAAAGATTAGGAACAAAACACTGTCCTTACACTGATGAGATTAGGGAGACACAACTGCAGAACGCGGCATAGAAGAACAGCTCATGAGGCTTGTTCTCAAATCAGAAAGATAGAATTCAAATTGCATTGGTGTGTGTGTTTAAAATTTAATTGAAATGATCAGTTTGTTTTCTACATAATGCTCGATCAGATGCCCGTGTCACAGAGCTCGATAGAAAGAAAAGAAAGAAAACAAATTCTATCAGGGAAATCAAGGAGACCTGCTATCGTCTGGGTGTACAGAATATGTCAGGAAATAATTCTACCCTGTGCACTGAGAATGCCCAGTTAATAAAAAACAGATCAGCCACTCACTAAGAGAAAATAACTATCTGTAGCTATGTTTTCCAAAGCAAAACGGCAGTTGCATCTTACATTAAATAGGACACATTAAAATAAGCTTTAATAATCTTTATGCAAAAGGAAACTAATCCATTTTCAGATCATACGATCCACAGCAATAAAAGGAAATCATCAAACTAAAAACAATTTTAGAAATGGCTGCAGACTCTCATTTAATTAACATGCAACAGATCATATATTTATGAGGAAGTCAAAATATTTAGGAAGTCTATAATCCTGTAAGCCTTAATGTGGTATAAAAACAACAAATAAATGCAAAGTGTTACTGTTACACATGCCTGCCTGATCAATGGTTTTCACATATTGATCTATAAATGGAGTTGACAGTCTGTGTTGCCTGCACATTTTCCAAGCAGCGCTATTTTTGCGCAAAACCAATACGGGCAATTACCTTTGTTTGAGATGCCAAGTCTTATCAATTCAATGTGATTTAGTGTCATTTTAATTAAATATCAGGATCCACTTCAGGACAATTTATCCAAACAAAGCCTCAAACCTAACTATAAGCTTGATTTGAAGTAAATATGAACATGCCCTACAATCTCATAATATTTCTCAAAAAGTCTGCTAAACAGAAGGATTGTATTTTTAGTAGTGATTTTTATGTCTGCCTTTTTGGCTAGCCACAACTTTGGCAAGTGTCCTATAATGACAGAAGTAAGAAACAAAAGAAAATTGTTTCCTCTTTTTCCTGATAACACACTAAAATGAAAAAGAGAGAAAGAGACCAGGAGCCGTGTGTTAACGGGGGTAAGAAGAATCTTGAATGTTAACACTTCAGGATGGCTCGACCTAAGTCCTCATCTAAACACCAGTGAAAACATATTTCTCTGTTTGTGATGGCCATGAATGTAGTAATGCCCTTCTGTGGGTTTACAGGATGGAAATGGTGAATATTCATGCTTGTCACTTCTGAAGACACCAGCACTAAATCTGAAATAGCTCCAGCCTGCAGATCCTGTGTTTGCAGCTTCCTGATTTGGACTGTTTAAACTGTTCATTAATATCTATTTTAAACTGTCTGGAAGACTGGAGCATCCTACAATAAATAGACATCGAAGTGCACTGAACCTTTTGCACTAGCTGCTTGCTGGGTTACACACTGGCTTATCTACCCTTAGACAGGAAACCTGACTTGCTCAATTTTTTTTTTTGCCCTTGCTGACTGCTTTTCCAACTAGTACTAGAAAATGACACCCTACTTTCAGAGGCCTCACAGTGCATCTCAGGATGGGACAGGAGATCACCACTGAGACCAGGGAACTTCCCTCCCACTCAAATGGAACACTCTAGAGTTCTGTTATGGAGAGGCAGTTTCCTTGCAAACTGCATCCTTAAACACCCAGTAGTTCTGCCTCTCCAACATTCCCTGAGTATCAAATCAACCACCTGAAATTTTGATATCAATTATTTGATATTTAAAGAGAAAAACACACACTGATATCATTCTAAGGTCAGATGGGATACCTGTGTAACTGAAGAGCTTCTCTGAAACATTTAGGTCATCAAAATCCCCAAATTACAAACTAAATTCACTTCTGTTTGTGTTCCTTGGGGTTGAAAAACTACCTTAGCATTTCAAAATACCATTAATTTTCAGAATCTTAAAAGACTTACAAATGACATGTTATCTACTACATTATAAGAATACATCCATATAAAAATACTGTAGCTCAAAACATAAAATTATGAATTAATGAAACAGTCTATTAATTTTACCATAAAATATTAAAAATAATAATGAAACCAATGTGAATATCAGACAGCTTATGTTATTGGTTACTCCAGTAGTTTAAAAGGAGACTTTCCAATAAATACGTATTACAAACAAGACATTTTTATTAATCAGGACACACAGCATATGTGTGGCTTCTGAGCACCTAATGTTTCTTTTGTAGAGATTCCGTATGTGTGTCCCTGTTATAGCAAGCTGCTCTGTGTGAATATACATACACATTTTTAGGGAACATCTCAACCCGCTTCCAAATGAGAACTATCCCCCTTGACCTCACACTGTCACCCAACTTCTGAAAAACCAAGCAGATAACTTTAACAGGCTTGTTTGAATAAATATGCCAAAATACTTTACATTCTGTCAGTATCTAGTCAGAAAATTGTGCATGGAAAAAAAAGATGAAAAGAACTGAGACAGAAAGAAAATTAGTGCCATGGCAAGCTTTCAATACAGGATCTCTGAGCCAAGTTTTCTCTGTGAAATGACATATCCTCACTAAAATACCCCCTTTATATAATTATGCTCTGAGTACACATAACCAGAAGTAACTTTTATTTTTGTTCCTTATCGAGGAATCCATATTGCGCAGACTAAGAATGCGGAAACAAAAGCTGGGATAATTACAGCTAATTTAACTTTGGAAAACTCTTTTTCTCTAGCAGTCCAGCATACAACCCCCCAAACTAAAGTTATGTAACAAGGTAATACCAACAATGAGAAACTGCATGATAAAATCCTGCCCAAAAGTGAAAAATGCTAATTTTGTCTCATTTAGCAGCTGGATACAGAAATGCTCATTAGTTTTAAGAGGGTTAATCCTTTTAACTTTTGCATATTGATATGCCAATTATGCCTAATTGTACAAGAGGCATCAGTCAAGGTAATAGTGCATAAACACATGAAAGTTATTAAGTACATCCCAACATGTAATAAAGTAGGTGTTAATTGGTAGCTGAGTTCTGCGGGCTATTGAGGTGGATAATTCATTGAGAGATGGATCACTTGTAATTTCTCTCCATAATTCCTTTTGCAGTCTCATGCTGTGATGTTTTCATGCTTGTCAAAAACAACTGCGGCATAGTGCCTTTTGTTAAACACAGCCAATAAAATATGTTAGGCATCATTAAATATACTTAACTTTTAAACTTTTTCAAAGGTACAGTTCTTATGGAGAGAACATATAGAGAGTCCAATAATTGACTCAGAACCACTGTCTCAAGTTCATAGTTGAGAAACAGTTTAGCTGTTTTTAAAGTGAAGGCAGCAAGCAGTGTTGTGCCTCCCAGCAGCCAATTGTTGTAAATGAGAAAGTCAATAAAGGAAAATGCTTTTCTCGGAGTTACCGCATCTAAGGATGGATTTCCCACTCCCCCTGTATCAACACTGGCTTTCACACCTTAAATCCGTCTATAGCACCTGAGGAAGAAATGATTAAATTCATGTATTTCTCAAACCCCTGAAACTGTTGTGAGTTAATATTGCACTTGAAATTCAAGTGAGAGATGGAAAATAAATATAATTGGTAACATTCTACTCAGTAAGTTTACCTCATTTAATAACTCAGTTAGGGAGCTGAATATTTCATAGGACCCTACAATAGTAACAGAATACTCAATTAATAGATCACATGCTTCAGCAGGGTGACTGGGACTCACAGTCTGTCCCCAGCTAACTTATGTCTCACTCTTGCTCTCACTGTGACAAACAAAATAGATCTGGGGTCCAAAAGAGTGGCTAACATTGCATAAATAATTTTGTAACATTCTATGGCCTCAGCTGCAAGTTACCACCATTATGGTAGAAAATTAACCAGAGGAGACTCATCGCAATCACTGGGTTTAGTGGCTCAGGATGCATGCAGGGCCAGGGACACAATTGGCAGTAGAGTTCATCTCTCTAACTATTTTATTTCAAATCTTTCTAATGACACATTATCGAAACAAAATGGCTTCCTCTCCAAACCTTAAATAGCCACACCATTGCAGCGGCTTGAGCCCTACTGCAAATCAAACCACAATTTCCACTCCTCTATATTATGGGGAGATTTTTGAGAAAAGGATTTTCACATTTTTTAAGTCGTTGATTCCCCTCCCTACTCCCAATTCATTCTTAGCTAATTTTAGCCTCTGGCTTTTCAAAGTGATGTACTGTATTTGGAAGTACAAACACCGCGTGCTAGCATAACCTCATTATTTTTATGACACTGAAGCATGGTAGCAGAGGCCCTTAAACTGAGTCAAAGGTGCTCTTCAGCCTGGCTTCACATCCCCTTTATCACTCTGGATTAGGCCCAGCTCTGCCCTTGTAACTGGGGATATTATTATGACTATAAGTAGGCAAGATAAAATCCATCCATCACAAAACAGTTTTTTTCATGCACATTGAGTAAACAAACAAAACAAAGCTAATTAGCTGTTTTTTGGTTTTGTTTTGTTTTTTAAATCTGTCTGCCAAGAGAAAGTGGCATGTTTGGAGTGCTTGACTTACAGGTTCAGTGACCTTCCCAGCATCGGTGAGGATCATGGATTTAGTTTGGCTCAGCCTGTCATGGTGGCTGGTGGCATTTTTGATTCTCATCTGCACAGCTCCTGTAGCTTGGTGGGCAGAGCTCAGTGTTTCCAAAGAGTTATCACAATTTGTAGATGTCTGCACACTACAGCTTATCCTGGTGAAACAGAAAACATTACATTGCTATAAATACATATATTTTCTGTGAAAAACTACTAGTGAGTTTAACGTCCCTCCTCACCACTGTTATTAATTCAATAGTCAGAACCTTCCTCAGTAGGAGATGAGACAGTTGCCACTTGGTGCTCATTTTTAGCAGCTCTGCCCTCCATCTGCACAGATGACAGATGTTTGTAAGCATCGCAACTCCTACCCATGTAATCTCTAATTCTATTAGAAGCTTCTTATAGTGTCCGAGAGACCACCAAGATCACTCAGACAACCTATTGCTCTTGCATAAGAGCTGTCTCAGATTCCAGCACCCACCTTGAGTAGCTCACAGTCTCGGCAGTTACTCCAGCACTCTGGGATCTGACACTGTTTTCTGACTTCCAAGGGCAATACACCCATGTGCACAAACCCACACTCACATATACACATCTTTTGAAAATAAAATCTCTTTAAAATCATGTTTCTATTTTGTTTTATAACTGCGGATGTTTTACCCACAGTATGTCCGTGTGAGATGTTCATGCAGTATTATGAAGACCAGAAGAAGATTTCAGATCACCTGGAACTGGACCTTGGGATGGTTGCTAGCTTGCAAATCCCAGGCCTGGGGAAGCAGAGGCAGGCAGATCCCTGAGTTTGAGGCCAGCCTGGTCTACCAAGTAAGTACCAGGACAACCAGGGCTACACAGAGAAACCCTGTCTTGAAGCACCCACTATAAAATAAGAAAATTACAACTTAGAGATTTGTGCAAATTTATTTACTACAAAGTAGTCAATCTTCACAATAGTTCATTTCCTGTTTCTCTAAAACTCCTGTGAAACAGACATTCAATTCCATATTTTTTTGAGATAGGGTTTCTCTGTATTGCTTTGGAAGTTGTCCTGGAACTCTGTCTTGTAGACCAGGTTGGGATTAAAGCATGTGCCACCACTGCCAGGCTCAATTCAATTTTTATAGAGGAGATAAATGCAAAGGGACTAAGGACTTTCCCAATAACACTGGCAAGGAAGGTGAAATGTGTTCTTGATTCCAACAAATGCAGTACAGAGCAACAAATTCTAGTGTATCTACACAATGAAAACAGAAAGGGAGAGACTCAGCAGTTAAGAGCTCTACTGTTTCAGAGGACCCAAATCATGTTCACACCACTCATATTAAGCTGCTTACAATAGCCTTGAATTCTAGCTCTAGGGGATCCAAAGCCTTTGTTCTCCAAAGGCACCTATACTTGTGTACACTCATCTACAGACACATATACATATACATAGTTAAACATCTTAAAAATGGAACAATCTATTCATGGACACTACGACAAAGAATCAAAAACTCATTCTGTCAAATTAATAAAGCCAGTCCAAAGGAAAGCTGGAGCAATTGGAAGCAATGTAGATGGCTGCAGTCTCACGGATCTATAATTACAGCACTTGGAAGCTGAAACTGAAGGGTGATGAGTTCTGGGTCAGCCTGGGCTAAATAACAAGAACCTGTCTCAAAAAGAAAAGAAGAATATTTGTTCTGCTATCTTATTAGTACAGTATTCTAAGAAAGTGCAAACCAATGTGGCACAGAAACCCAAAGAGCAATTTCTTAAGGAGAAAGAAGACAGTGGGGACAGCAATAGCTTGGCTATTATCACGTAGGAGGAAATGTAAGTGATAGGGATATTTGTCTTATTGACTAAATGCTGAGTGTTTGCATGTTCATGTAACAAAATGGATACATTGTGCACACTAAATAATTATACTCTATCACTTCAGTTATTGTATACATAGTTGTTTAGAGGAAAGTTGTTCAAAGAATTCACTAGCCATGTTTTCTTTAATATGCCTATCTGAGTGTGTTGTAAAACTTACCTAAGTATATAAAGAGCTTTTTTCAATGGGTATGAAGGAAAAATTGAGGTAATTAATTACATTTTAATTCACATTAAAATAATTACACTTTACTTTCCTCTAGACGTGCCTTTTACTTTTAAGTTATTCTCCAAGTTCATTCAAGGCTTGATATTTCACATTACTCAACAGATTCAGAGTCTAAGTGTGGGAAGCTTGTCACATTAGTGGGGGACTCACTCGTGCTGAAGCCTTTGTCTTCTGCCTGAGACTAGCTAGCCTCTGGGTTTGCATAGCCCTACCACTGACCAATTATAGGACATGTTGCTTTCCTATATTTGTACAACTTTAGGTGCCAAACAAAAAGATTACATTGTTGTACTCATTTTGAAACCTACCCCTAAATTGCCAGGTGATGTATTATCATCAAAAGGAAGGATTACTTACAGTATTTTTTTTTCTGGCTTCTCTGATTATTTGCTCAGAGGCAATCTTCAGATTTCAGAGCTTTCCCTTGACTGAAAGACTTCCTGCTTATTACTCTTGACTTTCCCTCTTTTTCCCCTCCCCTGTAACCACTGCTTCCTCTTTCATCTGGCCTTACACTATTAATATCTGTCTACACCATCCTTCTTGTCCTTGTCTATAAGGATTTTGTACCATGTCTCCTGGTGGGTCCTGAAACTGGACGATGATGAACATCATGTTTACGTTCCTTTCCTCCATGTATATATTGGTGATACTGGTTATTTTATACGTCAGGCACACAAAGAGATTATAGTTATAACATTGTGTTGTAATGGAAGTTATGCAAATGTGATTTCTTTCTCTTAAAAGTGTGCTATCTTCATGCTTCTTGTAGTGACAAGGGGAGATGACATATGCCTAAGTGATGTCATACAGTATGTGAATGACATAGCATTAAGCACTGCGTAAGGGTTACACAAAATCAGGTACAGGCTGCTGAATACCGGATCTAATGACTAAGTGAGTTACCAAGCCATTTACAAGTGGGTATCATATACAACTAAGACACTACACACAGGAATGGCTCATGCTCTTGAGTGTCACAACAGACATGCAATTTCACCATGGTCTCAGAGCAGCACATGGCTTCAAACTTAAGATTTTTAAAATTTAGGTGAATTCCCATTTAATACTTTGAGAATATTGGGTGTTGGTAAGTGAAGCCACAGAAAGCTAAGGAACTGCTACCAAATTTTATTTTGCTATGTTACTCAACTTTGTACCATTGTGCTGGTTCATTTTCATCAACTTGACACAAACTAGAGTCAGCTGAGAAGATCAAACCTCAACTGCTTTTCTATCCACCTATCAGGAAAGTATGTGGAGAATTTCTTCATTAATGATTGATGAGGGAGGGCTCAGGCCACTGTGGGCGGTACCACACAGTAATGTTGTCCAAATTGAAGAATAATTCCAACTGAGCAAGCAAGGGAGAGGAAGCCAGCCACAGTGTTTCTCCTTAGTCTTTGCTTCCTTTCTTACACCCTGCTCAAGTTCCTGTCCTGGTTTCCCCGGACAACAGACTATATATGAACTACAATTCAAATAAACCCTTTCTTCCTCAACTTGTAGTCAATATTTTATCACAGGAACAGAGAAACAAATTAGAAAAACTACTTTATAATTGACCTTCTTATTTGCAATTACTTCTGAGTTTCTTTTTTTTTTTTAGAAAAATAGTATTCTGAATAAGGTTTTTAAAAATACCACAAAACCTGTTTTTCAAGACTGGGGTAATGGAGTCTGCCAAATAAGCATAAGGCTCTGAATTCAAATCCTCATCACCATTGTCAAAACCTGAAAGCAGGGCATCATGGGGAATTGGGAGGTAGATACATACAGATTCCTGGATCTCATTGCAAGCCAAACTAGCTGAATTGGCAAGCTTGAGGACCAGTGTCTGTTTCAAAAAGTAAAGTGGGGAGTGATGGAGGAAAGCATTCCAAGTTGACTCTGGCACACACCCCCGCCCCTCTTTCTTTCATGAATACCTACATGTACATCTGAACATACTCACAAGAACAAACATACATCACACATGGGAAAAGATTTCTATCAGCTGAAAAACATTATTCCTTCAACATACATGTTCTCCCAAGAGGTATTAGACTGATGAAGAGTTAGGGGATGGAGAGAGCAATTCTGCAAGAGAAAATCAGAGAGGGCCGGGCTGTGTCAGCCAATGGCAAAGTAGGCAAGGTCTTAGAGTACACAGCCTTGCAAACATTTAAGATAGTGTGAACTAGCTACAGACGCTTTCATGAAAGGGAAATAAAGTGAGATGGAAGAGAATAAACTGAAGGAAAACCATGATGAATGTCATAAAGATGTTTGACATCTGGGCAGTGAGATTGCTGGTGTTGCTTGCCTGTCTTCTGGTTGATGCATCAGTTGAGAGCATCTGACAAAGCTATACGGAGCTGTTACTGTACACTCTCCAGAAGAGAGTCTGAGAGAGGAGACTTCCCTTAGCATCATGTACAAATGTCTTCTATAGATGAATTGAGAGGAAAGCAGAATCTCTCCATTGACAAAGGGAGGTGCACAAGTCTAGGGCAGTGGGAAGCAGAGTGCTCATACAGAATTGGAACAAAAACCATACTGGTGCCGGGCTGTAGTGGCGCATGCCTTTAATCCCAGCACTCAAGAGGCAGGGGCAGGCAAATCTCTATGAGTTCAAGGACAGTCTGGTCTATAGAGAGAGTTCCAGGACATGCTTCAAAGCTTCACAGAGAAACTCTGTCTTGGAAAAAACAAAAAAAACCCAACCAAACAAACAAATACACTGGTAGGCAATGTATTTGCAAAGATGACTCACTCTTATTTGCTGTGTCAGGAACCACGGATTCTGTATAGAACCATTTCTAGATCATATTTTGCAAGTTGTATTTGGATCCTACTTAAAGCGCTCTCTTTACCTTCCTACAGTTTCTCATTTCCCCTTACCTTCATCCTTATAGCACCCTGTCCCTCTACCACATCCCTACCATCGTCTCTATAAATTGGCTGTTAATGCCCCTGTTTTGTCACTTACTTGGGCATCCTGCCATCTACAGAAGTTGGACTTCTGCAGTTTTCATTCCCATCTTTCCTGATCTATATCCTCTTAAAACACCCATTTTTATT